GGGGCTTGTCCTGAGGGGACCCGACCGCTTGCCTTGCTATCTTCTGGGCAAGCAACTTGCTTGTTCTTATAGTAGTCAGTTGAACTGCCATTATTGTTTTGTATTTTTCCTTTTGGTCTTTCTTTCAAGAAGAATCTTCTGTTCTTCTAGCTGCTCCAGGCTGGTCTGCTTGTCCTTTCCAGTGGAAATTTTCCACCTCAGAAGATTCTGGATGATGATTCAGGATTCCACCTACGGTCTTATGTAATGCAGAGGCTCCGCAGGAAGCCTTCTTCACTGGGCGCGTTGTAGCCCCATTTTAGGTATCCCAATCAGTTATAGGCAGAAGGCAGACTTACAAACTTTGTATGGTGATATTTCTGGCTAGTCCTTTCTCTCCCCCGCAAGTGTCTATTTTATAATGGTATGCCAGGAAAAGCAAGATTCAAAAGACAGCCAAGCATCTTAACATTATTTCCCCCCTTTTGATTCCTTGACTTCTGCTTCAGTGAATGCTGATGGTTGATACAGGCAGAATGATGTCTTTGACAACTTCAATCTTTCTCCCTTTATTTTGTTTGTTTGTTTTTTATTGGTCCAGTTGTGAAGATTTTTGTTTTGTTTATATTGAGGTAAAGTGTATTCCAAAGGCTGTGGCCTTTGATCTTCATCAGTAAGTATTTTAAATCCTCTTTACTTTTGGCAAACAAAGTTGTATCATCTGCATACCGATGGTTGTTAATGAACCTTCCTCCAATTCTGTTCTCTTCATATAATCCACATTCTTGGGTTATTTGTTCAGCATACAAATTGAATAAGCATGGTGAAAGAATACAACACTGGTGCATACTTTTCTAATTTTACACTATTCAGTGTTCTCTTGCTCTAACTGCCTCTTGGTCTATGTACAGGTTCTTCATGAGCAAAATAAAGTGTTCTGGAATACTCATTCTCCAATGTTGTCCATTGCTTGTCATGATTCATACAACTGAAAGCCTTTATGTAGTCAATAAGACACAGGTAAACATCTTTTTGGTATTCTCTGCTTTCAGCCAAGATTCGTCTGACATCAGCAATGATATCTCTCATTCTATGTCTTCATCTGAATCTGGTTTGAACCTCTAGCAGTACTCTGTCCATGTACTCTTGGAGCCATTTTTTAATGATCTTTACCAAAATTTTACTTACATGGGATATTAATGATATTGTCCCATGATTTCTTCACTCTGTTGGCTCACCTCTCTTTGGAATGGGCACAAGTGTAGTTTTTTTTTTTTTTTTTTTCCCCCAATCAATTGGCCAACTAGATGCCTTCCAAATTTCTTGGCATAGATGAGTGAGTGCCTCCTGTGCCACATCACTTTGCTAAAAGATTTCAAATTGTATACCAGCAATTTCTGGTGCCTTGCTCTTTGCTGATGCCCTCAGTGCACCTTGGATGTCTTCTTTCAGTATCATTGGCTCTTGATCATATGCTATCT